TACATTTAGATTTTATGCAGATTTTTTAAAGAAATAAAAACAATTTATCCTTCAATTATTCGATTACGTGGTAATGAGGACGCCGCTCGTCCGTTGAACCAAGTTCCGCTTAGCAACTTTCGTAAATCACTTTATGAAGATCTTAACTGAAACCAAGCGTTTACTCGGCACGCCAGTCTCTACTTTCTAGTACTTGTCTAGTCATGCGATTAAAGCTGTGAGGCCAAAGGTATTTTTATGTTATCTTTGAAAATTATGTACATCTGCATCATTAATAAAGGTAATTTAATTAATATATCAATCCAGTCATTAATACCTCCACGACCGCGGACACGCTGGCGTGTCAGTTAACAATAGAATAGAATTTTAATCAATTTCTTAGAAATTCACCTGGAGGTGTTAAGGTATGAGTTAATAAAAAATACATATATGTCATTTGCATGCTCTCAAATGCAGTTCATTTGAAAAAAAATGTTACGTGTAACATAAAAAAAATGAATATAAAAATTCTACAGTTTCAACGTAAATACTTATTTTATTTTATATTCTAACTCTAAAACTAGTAGGTATTTTATATTGCGACATATTACTAAAACATTTTTTGTTTTTTGAAGCTAAAGTCGGTTAATTTTTATTAATAGGTTTCATGTTTATTTTGTAAACTAATTTAATTTTTGATTTACATTTAATACTTTTTAATCTATCACGTCCATTAAGCGATCCAATATTATTTTATTGTAAGCTTCAACTAAAAGCAAACATATTTTTAAAATTTCAATCTGTGTTAACTGATATCTAACATTAAGTCATGTGCTTTACTTACAATATTAATTTTACAACCCATTACGGTAATTGTAATCTCATCAAAAACATAACTGTGAAAATGGAAGACAAGTTCAATACTCTATAATACTAAATAGACTCGACTGACAAAAGAATTGAGATCTAAATGGGTGCCAAGTTCTGTAGATAATCCTGAGACATTATTTATAATAATATACAACATTCTAAAATAAATTTAAAATATAATTTCTTGTCTTTTTCTGCTACAACAATGTTTGCTATTTATAAAAATAACTTTTTAAATTTGAACAACCGAGTTATTTATACAAAGCATATATTTAGGATAAAATGAAGTTCAAGATTTGAATTGGCTAGGCGCTGTTAATAAAAATTGATTTCTTGCAAAATATTACAAATCGTATTAATTCACTATTTTCGGATTTTTTTGCTTTGTATACGTATAATTACTTACCTGGTCGCCAAAATTCAACTTTCTGGATGACCTGGAAGTGGGTTAGATTTTTGATCTATATATTACTCAGTAATAAAATGCCGATTTTTAGAAGTTAATATTTCAATAACTATTATTAATTCTGTTTAATCTAAAGATATTTAATGAATGAACTAAATTTCATGTATTTATGTTAAATAGATTTTGAGTTATTAAGAGGCCAAAAGTAGCTCCAAATGGTTCATTTAGCACACGGTGCTGCATCGCCAGTTCCTTTGGCTTGAACTTCGCTTGATACGCTACCGTGTGTCTAGCTAGATAGTTCGACAATATCTTGTATCATCACACTACTATTATAAATCCGAAAGTTTGTACGTGTGCATGTGTTTGCTTTTTAATTTTTAATTTTTCGTGCTGAGCTTTTGAATGAAAATTATTTGGCTCACCGATAGACTACGACTTAGAGTATGGCCCGAAGACGGGAGTGATCAGTTAAGTGGGTGTAAGTCGTTAGTTGAGCACTAATGCGAGGAAGAAATGGAGAAGAATCTTTAAACTATCTATGTATTTATAACTATCCAAACTGCTAGTATCCCGATAGTTTAAAATAATCGATTAATCCTGAAACAGAAGAAATGTTACATGATTAATTAAAATAATTTGACCTAATTACGAGTAGTCTTAGACATTTCCCTTTATCTTATCCTAGGTATAGCATAGAGTATCGATATCTATACTAATATTAAAAAGAGGCAGAGTTTATTTGTTTGCTTGTTTGTTTGTTTATTTATTATCTATGAACGCACTAATCTCAGGAACTACTAATCCGATTTGAAAAATTCTTTTTGCATTAGATAGCCCGTTTATTGAGGAAGGCTTTAGGCTATATCATATAATATATTGTCTATATATTCCATATTAACCGTTAAAACTTATCTAGGTTAGTCGCTGTTGTTTATAACTTTACATGGAGATGTTATTGAAATGATATTGACTAATTATATATTAATTTAGATTTAATCGTTGCTTTTATAGCAGCAGGGAATTGAAATACATTTATTAAATTTAATTTAAAATTATTATCAGTATTTCTGAATAGTCTTTTGTATTGTAATTTAAACACCCGGGCACACAATAGAGTGATTGTATAATGTTGTAAATATATTCTCAATTTATTATGATACTGTTTATAATGAGCTTTAATCTATATTATAACAAAGCAGTACCTAATTTAGCGAAATTTGTACATGAAATATTTCTTAAATATAATGACTGTAATGTATTATATACACAATATAGACTCCAAAACAATAGTTATTAAAAAATTATTTGTTTGTCTGTACGTCTGTTTGTGTTTGTGTGTGTGCGTTTCACGCAAAAAGTAATGAACCGATACCGAAAGGAAACATTTAGGATACCTTTTACTTTAGAAAAATCTTTCTTTCCCACGGGAAAACTTAATAATTGGTTTTTTCGAGTCGTCCTTAGAAACCTTTCACCAAACATTAAGACATACATCAAAACTTAATGTACAAAAAAATTGTAGGTCTTGTTGTCGTATATATGTATATTATATATATATATATATACCTATATATCAAGTATATATGTATGTTTTGTACTGTGACTTCAATCACCCACAAACAGTTCTAGTATAATAACTATATATATTTTGAGTGTTGTCCGAAACGAAACAGAAGGAAGCTTAGTAGCCGAATGTTTTACCAGTGCTACGCAAGTGCTACGATATAGTACATTTCTGTACGTTGTCTTTGCCTAAGGTTTACTTACTTTATATAATACTAGCAGAACCCGCGTCTTCGCCCGCGTTCAATCTACCAAAAAAAAACTTTTGCATTATGTTATATAGCGACTCACCCTTACTTTGCTCGGGCTCGACCCTGCGTATTTACATAATATTAAATTGTTTGGATATTGTTCATACAAAAATACCATAATTATATTTAAATATAATAATATATATGTTATAACAAAATAATAATGTAAAAAAAACAATTAAAAATCCTATTAGAACCATTTTCGACTTCTACGCGGACGAACTCGCGGGCAAAATCTTCATATGCGGTACTAATATGGTATAACGGTGACTTTCGAAACATTCCAATTTTAAAGAGTATTTACATTGCTCCAAGCTTTTAAGCGAGTCCAACCTTTTTGGAATAAAATTGGATTGAGTTTTCAAACATGTGTCAAAATAAAATGTAATTTAAATTAAAAGCACTAAGGCTCTGTTTACATATTTAAGACCCTTTTGTAAATATTGCCTGAAATAAATGATAAAATAAAATAAATAAATAAGGAGTATTGATATCAACTTCGAAGCTTTTTAACCCCGATAGTGGATGATTTCCAATAAATTACTAAGCATATCTTCCATCAATTCTGTTAAAATTTTTAAGTTAATTTTTATTCTGTTTACGCAAAATTTGAAGTAAATTGGAATCACGTTGTCCCATACAAATATTGCCCCCCTTTTTCACTCCCTAAGCGGTAGAATATCGAAAAATCCTTACTTATCGGATGCCTGCGTCATATAAAGAACACACCCTCCAAGTTTCAGGTCTCTACGATCAGCGGTTTAGGCTGTGCGTTGATCAGTCAGTCAGTCATTCAGGGCAAAGCATTTTATATGTATCAATACTAATATTATAAATGTGAAAGTGTGTTTATTTGTTTGTTTGTTTGTTTGTTTGTTTGTTTGTTTGTTTGTTTGTCTGTCCGTCTTTCGGGCTGGAGCATTTACCGCGGGAAAATGTTTTATTTCTGAGAAAAAATACAAAAACTGCAATATAAGAGTATACTTATACGTATGTAAAACCTACGAATTTGGTTTTCGGTAATCTGAACGCGGGCGGAGCCTTGGGCAATGCTAGTATAGATATATAGGTATCAAAACAGTAGCAAAGATAAAATGCGCCATAAAAGTCGGTTGGGAAAATCCGCCGACCCGGATGTAATTACAGTGGAATGTACCGTTTCTAACCATTTTTTGCTATCTCTGCAAAAATATTGTTGAATAAAATATTTTTTAAATTTTAGTTACCTAAATAATTATACAGAACAGAAAGTAATTCAAATGTATTTGGCAAAAATATTGAAAGAGAATAATAACAATTATAAATTATAAAAGATAACTAGCGACTTACCCTAGCTCTGCTCGGGTTCGTCCTTACTTATATTTTAACGTTTATTATAGATTTCTCAGAGATGAAATTATATATTTTCCCGCAGTAAAAGTATCCTATATGTTGACCCGGATAACCAGCTACCATATCAAAATTCATCGAAATCTCTCTAGTGGTTTTTCCGTGAGCTGTCACAGACAGACAGACAAAAATTCTAAAAACTATGAATTCGGCCTTTGTATCGGTAATAATGTCTATTTCAATAAGGTTTTCCAAAAAATATATAATGTACAGATTCGGCTTAGTTACAATTTTATTATATCTAATGTAACCTGTAGATAGATTGAACATTTAGGTAATTTAAATGTTATTGTAAAAGTATATTTTAGTTCTAATGATATAGTGTCATAATTATCTGCTATTCAATGAAACTTAACGCATCACCCTCATTCATGCTACCTAAGTAAGTGACTGACCCAATTTTCACAATGGGCTGTACCTTTTGTGATAAGAAGTAGCTAAACGATGAATCGATGGTACGAACTGTGGGGTAAGTAGAGGGGGGTGCAACGGATATTTGAGAAGTGTGCGGGGGAGGGGTGCGCGCGCTGTCGTCTGCAATGCACAGCCGAGGCCCGCCCGACCGTCGGCTATCCTCGCCTAACACGAGCTCGACTACGCGACGTCATTCTACACTACGGCGTCTGGCGTATTGGGTAAGTCTAACATTTAGTTAATAGTTTTGGAGAACTCAATTGATGTTTTTATTTAGCCCTGAATTGAAAATGTTCATCGTGTTATTTTAGCAAATCTTCTGAAATGGAATAGTTTAAGATTTAAAACTGTCTTAAACAATATTTAATGAATAATAATAAATATTTTTAATATTTTATTAAATAAAAACAAATACTTTAGCGTCAAAGGTTGTATAAATATTTAAACTTTTCTTTATTATCTATTTATTTTTACTTATGCATCGTCAAAGTTTTGTAATTACACATTATTTACAAGATACAACAATAGTTGTAGTTTACAAAATTAAAAAAAAATAATTATATGCCATGGTTTTAACTTATGAATATAACCGCGACGCGATGTAATACAATATTATACTTGTACTAGACGGCAGTAGTTTAAATGCATGCGGAAATTGCCGCGGGCGAGTGCTTTTATTTTAATGCGTTTGAAAATACATATTAAGGAGTAGTTTGAACGAGTTAATTTAAATTTTTATTTATTCCTCATCTCAGACTTTGAACTTTATTTAAACCCATTAAAAGGCTCGCTGTAGATACAAAATATATATAAAATGAATGCAATAAAAAATCAATTTTGTTAATAAAATTTTCGCGTAGACACGTATGTATCAAAATAAATGAAAAATATCGAATGAAAAATAAAAATAACCTTGCAGGAGAATTGGTTACTTAACACCAGTACGACATAATACGAGTATGTCAATTTTAGGAATCACTCGTGCGAATTGATCTCTCATCGTTTATCGTTATTAGTTATAATCATACATAGGGTACCTACGTCTAGGAAGCATTTTCAGAATTTAATACAGCTTTTCGTTTATCTCAGAAGCAAATGAAAGGTTAACTTGATTAAATTATGATAAATTAAATTTCTTCACAAAGAATCTGGATTTGTTATTTTTCGTATTAAGCATATTAGGCCGTTCTATTAAGTTTGGCCACCTATATTCTTTAGATAAAACCTTAATTTGCTAATATTTAGTAACAGTGTAAAAAGTAATATAAATATACGCTCTTTTCAAAATAGGTACACTTATAGGGCCATATATAGCTCAGTAAAGTGCCTCTCACATACGTAAAGTAGTCACGAAACTGACCTCTGCATTAGTGATTGGTAATTGCGGGTTTCTCATATAGGGAAAATGTATTGGGCAAGCTAATAATAATAATCGTAAATGTGCTTGTGATCGTTCCACAGTTACAAAGTATTTAATTTTTTAAAAGTTGTTAAATGTTATGTAAAAAAATATGAAAAAAATAAAACTGTAATTTTCATCATATTTTTCACACGTTACCAAGATCCAGACCAATCCATAGGGTATGAAAATAATGATAGATTATTCTTAGTGAATATTTTCCTAAAATTAACACAAAAAAAAATCAAAAACGTGTGGTCAGCATTGTTTGAAATGTAAATTAATAAGAATAAATAGATATAGGGATTAATTTGCAAAAATTAAGCTACGCCTTCTAAAACAAATGGATAAATTTATTGTTTACAAAAATATAATATTTGTATGCAAGGAGAATAAAAAATATTTCTTATAATACTTACTTTATTAAAAAAAATTTAATTAAAAATATTATTATTTCTAGCAGAATGCTAACAGAATATCATGTGAGTCTCTCTTTGTTGTCTAAGCTAACAGGCTTTTGACCTACTTATTAAATGGGGCTTACCACTTGTTACTTGTAAGAGAATCCTTTTCATCCTCTTTTGAAGTAAAATTATGAAAATATTTATCTCTTTTAATTTTAAATAGCTTTATAAATAAATTTCAATGTATATATCTAGTTAATTTAATTTATATACGTGCGTCGTGCAATAATTTCCACTGTTAGGATCTCTAATTTTGGCATTTACATATATATTTTTCGAGGATCTATGTACTTAATTACCTACGTAGTACCGAAACATACGTGATTTTTTAAGAAGTTGTTTCATTTATTATGGTGATTGATGATAGGGACGCTGACATTTTCCCAACATTTTCATAACTCATGGGACTCTGTAGTTTTCAAAATCATTTGATAAAGAAAGGCTATCCTAAACGCTTACATGCGTGTAACGTGTGCCTGTGAATCATGAAAGAAGACGTATTAAAGCGAAATGTAACATATTTATTACTGAACTCACAAATATATATTTTTCCGAATGAAAATATAATAACCACCTTTCTCACCTCCTAGGTTGACTGGAAGAGATCTCTATTAGAGATAAGTCCACCTTTGCCTTCAATTTTCTCTTAATATTTGTGATTTTTATTTGTAACGTGCAATAAAGAATATATATATAAACCAAGCCAATATTTTTTATTTTAAATCATTTTTCTTACATTCCTTGTATGGATGGAACGAAATGAAATTTTGAATTTATGAATGTCTATTCCTAAGAGTCTACTTGATATAGTTATATTTCAAAAAAAATCATTTGGAATACTCCATTTATTACACAATTTAGATTAATAGTTCTGCACTCACGCCTTCAGGACTATCATTTTTGTTTCATTTTCCTGGATCGAAAATTGCTATTTTCGAATCTTGCTATTGATAATACAGTTAAGTTAGATTTTTAGATTATTTTAAAAGGTTTTCACATATTATAACATCTTTTTTAAACATAAATTAGCTGACTAGACTAGACTTTTTATGTGATCGATTAAAATTAAAAAGCCTAAATTTGAAAGAGATTTTCTCAGCTTGTGATAAAGTGCCTTCAATTTCTATAAGGTCATTTCGAACAAAACTCTATTGATTATTTAAAATATAACACCAACATTAGTGTAATTGTTTTATATTAATAAACGTATAAACGGTCAACTGCCTTTGTTTTTCGTGCGTGAATGGAATTCAACCATAGATTGTGAATTGACTTAATTAATTGCTTCGTAGTAAGATTTTTATATAAATAAAAAGTAATACAAAGTAGTTGTATAAAAAATAATAATCACTTTTATATGTACATTTTTATTAATATTGAATTAAAAGTTCTAGTGATACATCCATATTCCATTACTTACTGACGTTTTGTTTAACATAATAAATGAATATAATAAAAAGCTTATTATTTCTTTAAATGAGTAATGACTTAGTTGAGATGGAATAATGATACAAATTTTCAAAGATTTCACTTCGGGCTGATGCAAGTGTGGAGGGCTCGGGATGCGTCATCGGAGCGGCACGGCGTAGCGGTGAGGCTGCCGCGCGCTACGACACGATTCGGAATTTAAGGTAGCACAGCACACAAGTAGAATATTGTACATACATACATTAAATATTAAACATTCTACATTAAAGGTATAATGCCAAAATCGTTTAAGTAGAACTACTAATATACTATTATATAATACTTTATAAATGCTGATGTTTATATGTGTGTGAGACTATGACTTGCAGTAAAACAGGATATAGTTAGACACCTGGGCTTGCACCCAAGCGAAGCGATGGTAAGTCACTAATGTGTTATAAGAAATGCCAATGATGCATTATACTAAACGTACTGCCTTCTAAAGGGCAAGGAAAAGGAAAGGAATCAAAATTGTAATCATTATAATACTCGTAATATAAAAAGGATATAATTGATAATATTAATATAATTGATTAGGATAATCATTAAATATCCATTCGGTTAAAGAACATTTGAGTTTAATTCAAACATTTTATCCAAATTAACTCGCAACTTTTCTTTAATTTTTTTTCTATACCATATTGTGGTGGATGATAGAATTTAGATTATTTTAAAAAAAGTTTTCACATATTATAACATCTGTTTTCTTAAAATCTTGTCTGCTCTTCAAATATAAAACGTAAAGTAAATAAGGTTTTAGTTTGTTGTTTGTTTTTACTGTATTTTAAAAGGGTAATACGTCATATTTTATGTAACTGTAGTGCTAACTTAAAGGTACAATGATAACTGAGTAGTACTCGCGCTGTAGGTTTTAAGCAATCAAGCATCCATTGCCAAATGCATTTAACCGAATTTTATTTTTCACCAAATTTTATATTTTATTTGCCTGTGGAATCGTTAACTCTCTTTTACAATTTTGAAAATTTGAAAGATCATTCATTGCGTATATTTTATTAGAAATTTTGTAAAGTTACGACGGTTTTTTCCTATACTTAGTTAAAATTTAGTGAAAAAAATATATATTTAGTCGTCTACAACCTAAACTGTTTACAGGTCGTGTACTTTAAGAATTTTAAAGATATAAAATAAAACTTTTTCTATTTTACTTATTTAAACGTTAATTTTGATACATTTGGTATATAGGCGCCCTGTAATGAAATTTTTTATGGGATATATGAAAAAGTAGTTAATAAAAAAATCGTTAAAAAAGTCGGAGCCTTTTAAATATACAATAAATAAAAACGGAGCTTTTCATTAAAAATAGGTCATATTATGTAGATTTGTACTGAATAAAAATGCTCTCTACATAAAGTAGAATAGCTAAACTTTACCCATACTCTTCTTAAGCCTTCAATTCTAGACAGAAAGAGGCATCGGGTGATATGTTATTCTTTATTTTCTTAATGTTTGAGTGCAATTAATGGTCATTTTTAAAATATTCGGAAGGAGCAGATGCTGACAATATTTCTGACGCTACACCAAATTATCAAAATTTAATTAATATTCTTAATTGATGTTTAAATTGTTCGTGTAGTAAAATGTATAATATGTAACGTTACCAAAACAATTATAACAAGTAATTAAAACATTATTATAAATAGGTATTACATTCTGATAGTGCTCGAAAATAATACCTCGTTATAAATACAAGGTAATTGTTTATTTTTGCTGTTATTTAGTTAATGATGAATTTATTGTGGTTATGATTGTAATAACATTTCAATTCAGTTCGTGTGTACTTTACGTTTTTTAATTTAAACTACAATTTATTTTACCTAAAAGTCACTACTAAAAAAGGAAAAACTAATATCAAATTCCGAGCACGAATTGTGAGGATTAAGCTGGCATAGCTACCTCAGACAGGTTAACTGCACACAGACAAGGCGGACATTCCCCAGACAGAGTGCAATTTAGTCAATATAAGGAGTGGTGTTTCTATTATAATGGAGTATCGATTCGGTACAGGGGCGGGGGTGACCTTGGAGCGCCTAACCGCCACCAGAGCTCCTAGGCGCGCCCTTGACTCCTGAATCTGAGGCGCGCGCGTCCCCCCGCAGAATAACAACCCGCCCGTGTCCGAGACCATCCCGCACTCTGCCCCGCTCCCTACACACGACGGTCGCTTCACTTTCATACACGGTATGTCAATTTTATAAAACTTTTAACTCTGTATTGCGTTTAGTTCAGCTTTATTTTGAGTCTGGAAAATATTTTCTCACCGAAATCGTAAAACAGTGATATGTTCCATTTTGTTACGTAACAACATGTCGGATAAAAAAATCGGAAGTTTTCTATACTTTTATGAGCGATAGTGTAGTTAATATAGTATTTTTATTTTTGGTTATTTTATAAATGTTAAGGGTGAATTTCCGAATAATATTATTCTAGAATCATAACGTAAAATATTTAAATAAATAGCAGTAAAAGTTAGAAATTCATTTGATGATATTGACAAATTATTCAGTGATATTCTCTGTTTTATATTGTGTTGCGTATTAAATGTAGAGGTACCTTTTGACGAGTTAGCGCTAAGCTGCGATCGATTGGAAGGTTGTTCTTATTTTGCCCGAGAAAGAGACAGGATATACGATTTCAAATCGTATAGTAACTAGTTGATAATATTTAGGCCATTAATGAATTGATTCAAAAACTTAGATACCTATTTGGTAGCTGTTAATGGCTTATAACTTGATATGCTTCTAATTATACAGCCCAATCACATTAGACATTTATAAATTATTTATATCAAATAAATCACATATCTGTGTATACCTGTGATATGGCAAATTATTTAAACTTAATATAAATAAATAGAGCTTTTTAGCTTATATCATGGGTTTTGAATAGATGCTATTTCTTTTTTGATTATTACATATATTTTTTATTTATATTTAGTCTGTTCTTAGCTGTTTTGATAGTAGTTTACAACTTGCTCTTCTTGTTTACTATATTTTAATGAGATCCACTTGATTCCCTGCGCAGACAAACAATTCAAAATGGCGCCGAACCTATCGTATCATATTGATACTACTTATGAAGTTTATAAATATATAAGAGTATTTTTTTAAACAATTTGTTTGTTATTATTTCGTACTATGTTATTTTTTATTGCGAACGATTATTTTAATTTAGCCGCAAGCTTAACTGTATGCAAAGCGATTGAATCATATTTATTTGAAATATTTTATTTATGTATTTTTATAAAATAATAAATATAGTGCTAAAAAGGATTAACTTTATGCTTTTATATTTTTGTTGAATATATTATATCAGATTCGGTGTTTGTTTTGTTTCTTCTTTAAGCTTAAAGCTTAATGTAACTAATCGTACCTATTAATATTAAATTAATAGTATAAATTATACATTAATAGCTCAATCACGTAAACATTTAACCTTCACGGCTTCAAAAACATAAAGATTATTTAGCTCTTACGTAGATTATATTAAAAAATATATGTTTATTTAGTATCTATTTGTGTTTCATATAATACTAGGCTTTGCCTGCGTCATGGTATTTTCAAAAATTTCGAGATACATATATATCCATTTATATGTAACACTACGCATAGGAATGAATGTTATGTGATAACGCCTGATTATTAGGAGTATTAAGAAACCCATGCCATAGTTTTTCCGAGTTGCGCTCGCAAAGTGGCACTCTGATAACACTTTTATAGGAAATAATTTTCGTTTTTATTTTGTAAGGAACTCAAACCATGTTACTATCTACTTTGACGGAAAAAAACAATATTTTTATATAGATAGAATATTCACTTAACCTAACTATATCTTTAAAAAATATATTTTTGGTAGATATGTTAAGTCAAGACACTTACTAGAGTAGGTATAATAAGAATTCTAATAAAGAATATTTTAATTAATTCAATATTCAAAACCTTTTTGTTGTTAGTAAATAATAAATATACACTCAATTGTATTGCTATTATATATTTATTAAATTTCAAATAAGCTTTATAATTTTCCTAGTTAATATTAATTGGTATGATAAAATTTATGGCTATGAAATAGGCGTAATTATGTGCTTTCTATGAATAAAATTTTTATAAAGAGGTGTTATGTACAGTGTAAACTTTCCATGTATTAATTTAGGTACAAACAAACAGATTACAATTCATCTCATTATATACGCTGCATAACCTTAATAGTATGTTTATATTAAAGCAAAACAATAACAATGTTTTATAAACGTAAAAAAATAACGGTTTTGTTTGATTGACAAACATACAGGTAGCTGGAATTAATATATGAAAAAGAAATTATGAACCACATTGGCTATTGTTCGAATGACAGATCCGTAGTACGGTACCGTTAAGCCGATCTGGTAAGGAAGTTAATACTCAATATTGTGCTGTAATATTGAAAATCCCATTAATATTATAAATGCGTAAGTTTGGCACAGAGATAAATTATAGTCTGGAATGAAGTACACAGGTTACTTTTTATCCCAGAATAATACTTATACGGTTCCCGTGGGATAGATTTGCTTTTGTTTTTCACAGAGCAAGGGATCACCTATGTATCCCATACTAACCGTTAAAAAGTACCTAGTGGACGAACTCGAGCGAACGATGCGAGAGGCAGTCGCTAGTACAGTAATAAATCGAACTTCGATGACTTAACTTTGATCCCTTAAACGAGTGTGTATGTTCGAACATTAAAGTATTATTTTTACTGTTTACTTACAAGATCTTTAAGCAGGCCTTTACTCATAAAAGCGTCCATATTTCAATCAAAAAAGAGTAATACCCGATTTCGCCAACAACCCATAAGCTACCGTATGGGATCCCTTGCTTAAAAGTCCCCTAAACTAGCCCCTAAATTAAATTTCGTTTTACCATCGTCAGAGCCCGTATTTCTAGTACTTATATTTAGGTGGCATTTTAACATTTAGGTGACCCCTAACTGTCGGTGAAACAGAAACTGTCCCCTAACAGCCCCTTACCTATGCTTAGGGGATCCCTTAAACTTAGGTGACGTTGTTGAAATCAGCCATAAACCTACTAACAATAATTTAAAAAAACTTACTAACAACTCACCAACTACGTTTGAATTGTAACTTGGAAATATGGGATAAATGGCTATATTATTATTTAATTATTATTACTAGATCAAACTCTAAACGCCATGTCAATCTCGATGAACATAAGTAGGTACTTATTAAAAGATTTACATACATTATGCTAAGTATATCGTGCGTTTGTAGGGCTTTCTACTCAATGCTACACATGACATACATAAATAGAACTCAAACAAATTGCGTTCAAATGTTCATAACAGAGAATAAGTTAATAAGTTTTTGAAAATTTATTGTTATCTAACATATTATCTCTTTTATGAATACAGGAAGTATTGAACTTCAAAAAGTAAATTTCTTTTGCAAGAAAATCTCATTTCTTGAAGCGCTCCTACAGTAAAGAGCTCTATTAACCTCGTACACCACCTAGCTTTATAGTTCAGATTAATATAAATGCTGTAAGCAAAAAAAAACAGGGTCCGTAGTTTAAAAGTTGCTATGGCGAGGTAAAAATAAAAATGGCCAGGGAAATACATATAAGAAGGAAATATAAAAACTTAAATATTTTTATCATAAAACATAATTTCATATTACCTATCTTGTTATTAAATAAGGCAAAATATAGAACTAAAACAAATTCGCATCATAAATTTTGACCACGGTTTTGGATCAATACTTGGGTTAGAACGTCACCGCACTCGGCGCAGTCAACCTAAAGCTACGCTATTTTGCATAACATTGTAGTTATTACGGTGAGCCGATTTAAAATTCAAATTTTGTATATAAATATGATACACTTTAAAAAAGTATTGTAACAATGACGATCTAAAAATCTAATATGCGACACTTATATCATGTTCATTTAAAAAAAATGTTATATAAATACATTAGTTTGTTATAATTTTAGAACATTACTTGCAAATTTCATGTTTCTTAACTAACCTTCAAAAAAGCGCAGCTTTCGCTGATATTGAAAGTGAAAATAGGACGTAGTTTCACGAAAGCAAACATAGATATTCGTACTCAGTTTTTTGATATTGAACCTCACTCAGTAAAGTTCATCAAAATGTGAAGGTCAACATGGAACCGTCATGGAAAAGTATAACTAGCGATTAAAAAATGAAAACGATTGTGTTTGTAATGTCAATAAATTTTTTATTCGTCCGATCGGACGAATAGCAACAACAGCCTTAAATGTAATTGACAAAATAAAGATTTAAAATCAAATTTTATTTTTACTCTATATGTCGCCCCAAAGTCAAAGTCTAGGTGTTTTAAAAATAGAACGTTCTAACTGTGAAAATATATAACGGCTATCGATGTATGCATTAAAAACCCGAATTACATTCTCGTGCCATTAAAATATCCGATTTGACCGCCCACGACGGCCATTTGACCCTTATTAAATTCCATAATAAAATAAATCCTTTTTGTAAAAAAAAATATATAAAAATAAAGCTTTTAATGTAAAAATAAAAAAAATATATTTTTGCATCCACAATATAATGTCCTTTAATGTTTATTTTTTGGAAAACCAATACTTTCAACTGACTTTGATGGATGGACATATTGAGGAAAACAAGCAAGAAGTTCGTTACTATTTCGTTTTTTGCGTTGCATAACTTAATAAAAAAAGATAAATGAATATACTTTTACAATACGTAGGCTATATTTTCATTCAACATTTTAACACTCGTTATTGCCTCATAGATAACACGATACTATTATGAAATATATATAATCCTAAGTTACTGGAAATGTTTTAGTTAATTGCTCAAACTATTCAATGTTACAAAGCTTTTGCAAATAGTTTGTGTATAATCACGTTGAATATCAATTTTGATTAAAATTGAAATTTATTGTTCATATTAAATAATAATTTATTAATATTAGTATTAACTTATATCAAAACACATTTACAATCTACTACAATTTTTAAATAAACATTTATTTATATTGTTTTAGGAACAATTTGTATCTATTTAATATTTGTAAATCAATGAAATTCATTAAAAATAAAAACGAAAGGCAACTAAAACAGATTTCCGTTTGGAAAAATTACATAAGCTAGACTTAAATGAGGTATATAGCTTTTTTATATTATAAGTGACTTATCTTCGCTTCGCACGGATGCATCCGTGGCCCCTAGGTAGGTTTTAAATAGATAAAAATATATAATATAGATATAAATATTATTAGTACCCAAGGAGATACACACATACTATTGCGGACTTTTCTGTAAGGCTTTTGAAACCTACAATTTTCTAGTAGATTGTTTTGATGTACCTATCTCTTAATATTAGGCAGCGTTAACTATGTAAGCGTACGAAAAGAGTCATACTTTAGCAATTTTGTATAAAATAGTTTGTCTCTTTTTTATTGAAGATCGTACCAAAATCCGTTGTGTGGCCTAAGAAATAAGTGGAAAAACAGTCAGAAGCAGACAGCGACTTTGTTTACACTATGCATAGGTAATAATTAATTGATTTAGATGAGAGACTTGTGCTCGAACTGAATTTGGTGTTTTCCTGTGAAAATGATAGAACTGCACTGAATTTTTAAATATTTTATTTAATATAAAATGAAAATATATAACAATTTAAAATTTTAATATTTTTTTAACCCTGCCTCTAATAGTTTTTGTGTAATAACTAAGGAATCATTGAAATTGATGTGTAAAGGACAGCTCGGCTGGACTATTTATTACGTTGAATGAGAGATTTACCTGCAGAAAAAGGTCACCTAAAGTTGACCCAAGTTATCACTGGACAAAATTTAGTTAAAATTCGCTCAGTACTTTTTGCGTGATATGCACATAGATATACAGGCAGACAGACAAAATTTTCAACAATTATTGTTTTGGGGTCTATATACTATATTCTGTACACAATACGGGACAGTCATTTAAAAATAATTTATGCACAGACTTCGCATTGTTACTATTTTATTGTATGTATAATAAAATTCCACAGTCGATATAAAGCTTAATTTTAAGCAATTGAAGTCAAACATTAGAAATATATTATTGAATAAAGCTTATTACTCCATCACGGAATACTTTGTAGATGTCAATGTGTGGGACGGGACTAATATCTAGTTGGGTCTCACGTACGATAAGTAGATAGTTATCCTACTAATATTATAAACGCGAAAGTTTGTAATAATGTATGTATGGTTGTATGTTTGTTACTCTTTCACACCCAGAACGGCTGGACGGATCTGGATGAAATTTGGCACAGAGATAGATTATATTCTGGAATAACACATAGGCTACTTTTTATCCTGGAAAAGAATACGGTTCCTGAGGGATAGATTTGTTTTTGTTTCTCTAGAGGCGAACCTGAGAGAAGCGGGGTTGAGCCGCTAGTGTTATTACAATATTGTAAACCAATAGAAATTAATAGTAAAAAATATATTTTTAATAACCAGCTTATATTTAAATGTTCTAAAAAGAAAAAAATAAACTTTAACTTAAATCAAATCCATCAATTTATTACATTACACAATGTATATGATAAAAGGTTGTCACGTTTACATATTTTATTAAAAAATGTGTGTGTACTTATTTAAGTACGCATGTAAGAAGTTATACTTCTTTGTTGTTTTTAGAGCATTCAAATAAAAGCTTGTTTAGAAAAAAAGTGAATAAAAATGATGATGAGAATAAAAACTACATGAATTATGAGTTAGCAGGTGTTATAGCAAAATTTATGGTTCCCAGGTACAAGGCGGGCCTAAAGAAATGGGCACTCTCAAGCCCTACACTTTTGTTGCCGAATAATATTAGAGGTGAGATTTTTTTAATTTTAAGATTTATCAATCAATAAATCAGTAATGCGGCAGTGATCAATCTCTATTTACTGTCGTCAAAAGCACTTTATGTACTTTGAATGTATTGGATTTTTGTTCTGTGAACGAATGTATGTACGCCCATAAAAAGAAAAGGCAACATCGAATATAAAATAAATTTGTCACATGTAAATTCATTTTATAGGTCATCCGTTAGCTGCAACCGGATTAACGATTTAGGTCAACAAACACAGCCGATAGAGTTATAAATATAGATTGTCAATTCATGCGCTTTTAAGTTGCAAGGAAAACCTTGAAACCCTTGTAGATTATTTTTTATTCTATTCTTGAATATGCATTGAAATGTCTATACTTTATTTTTACGTCATTATCAATATTTCTTAATTATTATATTAATTTCAACGATCAACATGGTCTTTCATTTGGAGACAGACATTATGTTAACCTGTAGAGTTCTTACCGTTTAAGGAATGGAAGCTTAACCTCTTCCTAGTTTAAGTATATCTACGTAACAATTTTCATGTTATTTTTAAAATGATTCGACGATTAATTTTTTACAGTCTAGTAAGTAGTAAGATGATTGTGAAAGGTTTTCTTGCTTGAGTTACTGATTATATAGCACCAGATTATAGAGCAACGGAATTTTATACAGAGATACGTTATGGATGTCGCTACTGTTATATCAAGCTTAAAATAATGTTTTGTACACCTACAAAATTTTAATTATGTTAAAATATTATATTTATTTCATGTCTATATGCATTATACATCAAAAATATTTAGAAATGTTAATTATATCTCTAAATATGAAATTAAGCCACATACTAAATGTTTTCTAAATTTGGTTTTTTATATTAGAAACGCCATGCCGGCGAGAGTGCTGAGCGGTCGGACGGGAGGAGCGGAGGTGAGTGTGGCGGATAGCCCACTAGCCACCTTCGAGTCGCTCACGCAGGCTGCCGTTATCGCCGTCATGGGCGTGGCGATCGTCGTCTCCAACCTTCTCATCATAGCTGCTTTCCTCAATTTTAAAGGTATATATAGCTTTGCAGCTATTTCCTGAGTTACGTCTATATTAAGTTAATAAAAATATATTTACTGGTAACATTCCCAAAATATACTAACCAGAATTAATTAAATTTCAAAGTATTCTAATTTTTTACTTAAAAATTAATCCTAAAAAGCCTGAGATCAAACTGAACAATGTACCTGTAATATCCAAGTTAATATAAGGTATTAAGAATAGATTAAATAATAAAACTACCTTTGTAGCTGGCTTAAGATATCTTAATTATGTAAGAAAATGTTAGTATGTGTTTAATTTCTAGACATGGGAAGACAGTGACAATAATATTGCATTGGTATTGTTTATGTTTTAATAACAATTTTTGATGGACATAGTACAAACACTTTTATATGTACAATAAAATCCTTTATTTGTCGCAATCAACATAGAATTTCTTATACTTTTTAAATGGTTTCCTTTATCTTAGTAACAATATTATATCTTCATCTCTATATGAAATACCGCGATTAAGACAATAAGCTATGTATAAAGTATATTAAATAATCATCAAACGGAAAGGTACTTTCATTATGAGGAAGTATCAAATAGAAAAACCTACTTGTAAGGGGAATAGAATAAATAGCGAAATTTTAGTTTTGAGTTGAATTACATTACTTTGATAATAAAAATATTGTCGGCAGGTTTATCTAACGAAGTAATCAACTACTATTTGCTGTCCTTGGCCGTAGCAGATTTACTCTGTGGACTCTTCGTTGTGCCTCTGTCAGTTTACCCAGCGATTACGGGGCGATGGATGTTTGGAGACCTAATGTGTCGATTGGCCGGCTACGTAGAAGTGACATTGTGGTCCGTCTCAGTCTATACCTTCATGTGGATATCAGTTGACCGGTACCTGGCCGTGAGAAAACCTCTCCGTTATGAGACGGTTAGTGCGACGGTAGCTATCTCTTTTTTATTACTTCTCTTCCACAAAGCGGACGCTCTGGTTCTACTGACATCGAGAGCTTGTTCAGGGCGGTAACATCAGGTCTCCATCAAATTAATAGTCAGTTTCTCAGTGCTTAGCTCATTGTTACTGAATAAATCTTACTTTCTCATTTAAAGCTAATAATTCAATTTTATCTATATACTTTTTATCTCATACCTTTGATCAATAGGTATTTGGTTTGCCAAAGTTTTCTTTGCCCTTTATAGACAGCATTTGCGTGTCAACAGAAAGACATTAATTTAAAGAAATGATTTTATTTTTTCATAAGTAGGTACTTTTATTATATGATGAAATAATGTCATTTACCTTTAATAACAGAAATATCCAACAAAAGGATCAAAATTTTATAGTAAAGAAAATAATATTAAATTGTATTGATGGAGAAATCGGATGTATTTGTCATGAACATTAATTGCATGATTAAACCCTTAAAACCATATATTTATATTTTTCCTTATTTAGCATTGCATGTAAATGATATTAAAAAAAACATTTGTTTTAGATTTAGCCTGATTTCATAATGTGGTCATTTAGAGCCAGAATGTCACAAACGAGCACAATTTGCACATTTAATATGTCCCTTTATAGTCGCCTTAAATTGTAAATAATAAGTAGACTGGTAGTATTTCAGATACTTCAAAAATTAAAAAAAAAAATTAGTTATCATTTGAAACTTTTAAGGATTGGAACGGGCTTTCATTTAAAATTATCGTATTTAGTGGTAAAGCCATTTAAAGTATTTGTTACTTGTGCTGCACAAAAATAGAAAAACATATATACTGTGGGGTAAAGAATATATGATATCGATAAAAAAAATTCATGTATATTTTATTCCTTTATTATATTTAAAAAATACGATAATAAATGATTAATTACAACCTAATGCTATTAATGTATTAATAGTACAATTCATTTGTTTTTCAGAATTGTGATTGATATGTGATACGAATAGACCTGCTCCAGTTAATTTTTGCCAGTAATTGGTGATATTTTGTTACAATTGCATCAGATGTACGTATTTTCTTCGGATTAACTATGTTGAATGCAATCGAAATCGAAAAAAAGCGCTTCCATGTTAAATAAACTTTAACATTTTGAAATATTTTATTATAAATTTATAAAAGACTCTGCGATAACCCCGGACGGGATATAACGTAATGTATACATAAGTAACAGATGCTTTTGTTTGAAGTTGAAGAAATTAAATACGCTATTTTTTCATCGCCCGTCCATGTTGAATTATTATAATAGCTACATATATGTATATCTCTTCTCGGCATTTGTATACGACTTTTGTTATTGTCTTGCAGTTTCATAATAAGAATAAAGTATTTGCTTACATTTTAAATACCTTTATATATAAATAAATTAAAATTCATCAAATTTTAACTATTTATAATAGATAATACTACCAAATTTAATGTTTTATATCTCCCCCTTTTTAGTATTGGCACCAACACAATATGATATTTGCAAAACCATTATACTAATTACGTTAATTTAGGTACAAACTCGTACCCGAAGTCAATGCTGGATGGTGTTCACATGGATCTCTGCGGCTATGCTTTGCTGTCCTCCTCTCCTCGGATACAAGAAGGAAGCTAACTTTGACAAGGAAACATTTATTTGTATGTTAGATTGGGGCACGACGTACGCGTACACAGCTACTTTAGGCATCCTCGTCCTGGGGCCTAGCGTCATTTCAATCGTGTATAACTATTTCTATATATTCTCTATGAAAAGAAAGTTACATAGTGGCGCGCCGATTCACGACAAGGAGTACGCGACAGCTTTGGCAGAAAATCTTGCGAACCCAAGTCATTGGATGAGCTTTGTTTTGGTCACCGCATTCTGGCTGAGCTGGGCCCCTTATGCCGGCGTCAGGTTGTACGAATACTTCACAGATCAAGAGTTAAAAATTCCAATGCTTCATTTCGGGGTTGTGTGGCTCGGTATATTGAACTCATTTTGGAAAATTGTTATCCTAATATCTCTGAGCCCTCAATTTCGCCTTGCATTGCGAATACTCTGCCTTACAGCTTGCTGTCGGACGAAGGGGCGCCTTCAAGCTGAATTGATTGGCATGGACAATGATGATTGAAGTCACCGCTAGCGAGCGATGAAATATTACATTCTAAAATTTTCCTTATGATTAGATATTAAAAGAAGATTTTATTGTACTTATCAAACGGTAAATTTGAGGGTTTAGATTAACATGCTCAATACGTTTTTAAATTTGGCGCAATATATTAGGTATATTGTGAAAGGGTAAACCTCATCCCAACCAAATATAGTTTTACAGCAAATAACAACAACAATCACTACTGAAGTCATTCCTCTAATTAAGCTAGCAGTTTAGATTATTATGTATTGAAATATAGTCTATTTACAATTGTTGGAGGTTTTTTAAAAAAGGATACATATTTTAGTTTTTTGTGTAGTATAGTGTAGTTTTATTATTTTTATTACACTGATCTGATATTTAGACAATAACATTCGTAAACAAACTAAATATTACCCGTTTATAATAAATTTTCATATCATTTTGAGATCGGACACTCGATAGATATAAAGTAGCTAAGATTCGATACAAAATATTTTTATAAAACCATAATTTGCAATCAAGCGGTACTATTTGTGATATTTGCATAATTGAGATAACGTACGTCTTTGCTAACGAAGCTGTAATATTCAACATTTGTACGCATATGTAACGGTTCTTTCTAATTTTAGGATCATTATACATTTATTTGCTGTGTAAAAATATTTTTATGAATAGATTTTATTATATTGTAGTTATAATTATTGTAAAAATTTAAAACACTCTGCAGCAATAACTTTATTCACTGTTGTTAAATAATATTCAATATTTACGTAAGTGTTAATGATTTTTATAAGCTTAGGAGTTATCTTTAGTGTATTGTAAAGTATTAATTTTTAGTATTTTCTCAGGCGCACATTTATTTTAAAACTGTAGAGATTGTACGCAAATGTTTTATTATGTTTAAAATATAAATTACCTTCATTACCTTTAATGGAATAGAATTTTCAATAAGCTCTGCTATAAAAAAAATTATGTATATAATATATACATATATTTAATTTAGTATATAATCCTTTGCATTTATTAAATATTTTTATATACATTTTATCTACTAGCTATTAGTAACTGTGTTATAATATTTGAATGTTCACTTTCCTGCACTTTCAAATTATTTTGTATGTTAGTCAACGATATTAGAAATTAAATAGTGCCAGCGTACTTACAGTTTTACGTACATATGTATTAATTTACATTTAACTATTTTATAAGTTAGATATGAAACAAAATCCGCTCTTCCGTGAAAATATTTAGTTCATTCGGTTCTAGTAAGTTACCGGTTGCGTCGTAGCACTTGTGCTACGGTTAACATCAAAAGCCATATGTTAGCTTTGTTAAATACTTTTACTTACTTTAGTATATAGAAATGTTTGCTTTGTAATAAGCAATTGGAGAAAATAGGAACATTATACATTGATTTCTTCATCTCATATTTCTTGATATTTATATTTAATATTGATCGATACATTTATTAATGTTATTATTTGTTAAAATTTGTTACAAAATATTTTTATTTCATTAATAAGAAATAATACTCATTCTATCAATATTTGGGTAATGACATTCTTCTAGTCTATGTTAGGCCGTATAAAGAAACCAAACAAGTGCGATATAGAACTTCCATTACAGCAGTGTAAAATATCTGACTCGGCTAATCTTTGATATTTAGGAAAGCCTACAATGTGTCATTAGAAATTAATTAGAACAAAGTTCTATTCTAACATAGATGCAAGTGTCAATACTCAAGGTTGACTAAAGTAAAAAATAAAGTGTCAATTCAATTTTCCTAAATATTCATAAAAAGCTTTTAGATCTCAAGGATCTTATCTTTAGAAGAATTGTATAGAAATCACATAAAAAGATCATAATAATTACTTCACTTACTTCATAAGAAGAAATTTCAAGACGAAATAGAATTATACAGAAGATTTATCGGATATGTCACTACATTCATTTTTTGTTCTGCCCAATTAAACAATTTTAATTTGTTAAATTCACGACATTTAGAAGTATTGTACATTTCCGTTTCGATACACTGCAAGAACAATGTATAAATATGTATCATGCGCACTTACAGCCTATTTACATAACGCATTGTTTTTTATTTTTATTTTAAATTTTGGCATTTGTATCTCTTTCTCTTAATCTAGCCTCAAAGGCACGAGAATATATGTAGTTTAGTTTTCTTTTTTAATACGAGGACAACCGATACATAAAGCATAATTAGCATATGTATAGCATAAGTTAATTCTGTTTGTTTCATAAATCGATATTATGGTTAGCGAATTTTAGTTGTATTTTTTTTAATAGTGAAAATATTGCCCTTCATGAGCTGCTGCATAGTCATTTTTTAACTTCCAACTTGGCAGGGGCACTGCCGTGCCCTCCGATAATGTAATGAATAACTTATTTAATATTATTATGTTGCTGTAATATTAGTATAGATAATAATTTACATTTTATTACATTGGCATCGATTACTTCTTAAATTTTCGGATATTGTAAGGTTCTCCCCTGATAAATATTGTGCTTTTAATGTAAAAATAATGCATATTTTATTGATAAAAACATTAGCTATTAACAAATAAACAAAACAAGACAAAATTTGAAAACATGTCAATTTTTTGTGTGACCGTGTTTCGTTAAGGTTTTTCATTTTATATAAACTCATATAATAGTAAGAATTAGAAATACGATTGTGAAATACATTCAGATACTTCAGTATATTATTAATTATCTAATATACAGCTTTTTTGAATTATAAGGATAGTTACAATTGTTCACAGAATATTCTAAAGTTTTCAAATAGATCTAGACATTTAATAGTGAAAAAAATTAAAATTTAGTAATTTGTTAGTAATAAGCCTTAGTACTATAATTAGTTTCGAGTAATACAACCGTTCTAACAAAGTGCTACTTAAAACTGGCTTGAGGTTGTTATATTAAAAATATAATGAAAAATCATTTTATTATCGATTATATATCGAGTAATCGATCGTTATTTAACTGAAGATTAAGTATATATATTTATTGTGTTAATTGTTTTGTGTAGCACTGTGTGAGAAGAGAATTCTATGAATAAAATTAAGTATTTGCCTTATAAAATATGCTTTAGAACAAAACATATACATACATATATTATAGCATAACCAATACAATTTATTTACTTTTTGACTGATCGTTAGTATATTTTAGATTCAATAAATATAAATTTACCGCAGCTCAGCATGTGCAGCAACTACGAGTATATACACACGTACACAGTACATACAGACATAAGTGCATATAGATATTTATATTAAGAACGCATTATATATATAAAAGCCATTTTTACGGTTTTGTATTTAATAATTCTAAAATATATAATTCTAAATAATAGTTAAACTTCACACTATATTCACAAAAACTTAGCCATATTTCATTACATAATTAACGAGGCAGATAAATGGAATTCTATAACAATAACATTAAAATCATTTTTATTTAATGTAACCGTGGACAAATAATTATATATTTAATTAAATATACCAGTATAATATATAACGTTTTGAACGAAAAACTAACAATGAACGTGTTCATAAAGTATTCCTTTAACTGACTTACTAACTAAAAAATAAACTTAAGAAAAATATTACGATAATTGGATGTTTCAAATTATTATTTACTATAAGCATACGTTTTAAGATAATTTCGAACGTTAAGAAAGAAACTATATAAATTGCCAATATACTGCCATTACGTATCACCGCCTGCCGCGTCGCGTACAAAATTTTAATACATTAAATAAATATTTCTATATTATACTAATATTGTAGATATTAGAGCCTCATATACAAGCAATAAATAGTAGAACAAGCATAGTAGAATGTTGTCAATTTAAGCTCCATAATCATATTTATTTCAAATACTTATACTATTTACGAGTACATATTCTTGTTGAAATTGTTATAAAGTAATTAGCATGTATCGTTAAATGTTACAAATTACAAAAATTATTTAAAAATATATTCTAAAATGTTCAGCCACAGTACACTAAATTTTGCTATAATAGACTTAACTTAGTAGATATTAGTTATAGAGTAGGATATTAGATATTTCAGGTGAGGTAATCTAGCCTTGCGTGATAACTAAAACTATTAGTGTAAATTGGAAGGATTCTTCATTTATTTTAGATGATGTGTAGATATGATTGGTTAAATGTATTTTGTTGTATAAGAACGTAGTCATTTTTGCATTGTACTTAATGTATTTAGTTATACTGTAATATATATTGTAATAGGTATACTATGTATCTTTACACGTTACGTTGGGGTTAATCTGGCCTTCTCATATTTATCATTATTATTTTATAAAATTAACAATAAATTTCAAATAATGTTTTGTATTGGTATTGCTTTGATGAAAAAATAACGTCAGTCAAAAAATACAAGTGTAACTATTATTTATATTTTAAGGATAAGGATTCAAAAGTACCTACCTAATATTTACTTATATATTATTTATTTACTGCTGTTTAAATAAGTTATATTAAGAATCTCAATTAATTTAATAAAAATCAATAAATTATATATGTATATTAAAAAAAGAAATTATATGAAAATTATATAAGAGTGTGTATGTGTGAAACGTATTCAGCTGAATGTGAATTTGTGATTGCATCGCAGTACAAAGGCTCATGGCGAGTAATCGCATCTGATATAAGCAGCCTCTTCTGTTTTTAGATTTCTTCTCTATCAATAAAATTTAAATTAATGCTACTAAAAATATATACATTTAAAGATTTTCGCTTACTCGTAGTTGTTAGACAGCGAAAAAAAAATTTACGACTTCAGATGTTTATGATTACCTAAATGTAAATAGTAAACTTAGAATTTTAGCAATAATTTTAAAGTTTGCACAAAATAAAACTATCTTGTCGGATTTCGAAAAGATAGTTTTATTTAAAATGTCAAATATTCGCGTAAATCTAAGAAAGTATTTTGCACAAAATAATTTAT